TCACATTTGGGGAAAAAATTGACAATATTTTCTTTTATCAATTTTTTCCATTTCTGCAAGTGGGGGAGTGAAATTAATTTTCATTTCATTTTTAATTTTTTTTTCTTCTATTTTTTTATTTTTATTTCATTATTTATCTTTATTCTTTTATTATTATTTTTAACCTATTATTTAGTTTTAATTTTAACCCATGAATTATTTATATTTTTAATCCATTACTTATTTTTATCCTCTGTTTTTTATTTTTAACCCATTATCGTGAATAATTCCGGAAAAATTTGAAATATAAGAAAAAAAAAATAAAGAACTTTTAAAAAAAGAAAAAAGGGAAAAAAGAATATTTTTTTAAATTTATTAAAATTTTTTCAAATATTTTAATTTAAAAGTTTTTAAAAGTAAAATATTTTAATTTATTAATGACAACCGTAAGAAAAAAAAGAAGAAACAAAATTAAAGAAATGACAATGAAAACAAAACGTAAAGCAGAAAACAAAAAATAAAAAAAGACAGTTCCAAGAAAACAATTTAAGTAAAAGTTGAAAATTTATATTTATATATAAAAATCTTGTTGGACAAAAAGCATTTTGAAAATTTGTAGCGTAAATGCCTGGAGAGATATAAGAAAACGAAAGGATAAAGAAATAAAATGAAATATATCACAACGCTGACGACCGGCAGTGCAATATCCAGTATTGCACAAGCTATATCTTGTCGCTGCTCAAGATGATTCACCTCAAAGGAATCGTACGCGTCCAAGGACCCTCGTTTTTCAAGCGCTTCTTGTCTATATCGCCGTGTGCCGAGTTGTAGCCAAAGGATTGAAATTTATCTCAAACTTTTTTATATATAACGTCAAAATCAACGGATAATAATCCCAAAAATTATTAATTGACTCTCAATGCTTTATTTACTGTCAAATAATTATGTTATGGAATTTTACAACTCTTTTTCTTTTAATTTTTTTTGTATTTTCTGCTTTTAATTTTTTTTTATTCTCTTGGTAATTTGGCAATTTTTTTTATTTTCTACTCTCTACTTTTTTCATTTTTTGCTGCTTGTAATTTCTTTTTTATTTTCTAATTTTAATTTTCTACTTGTAACTTTTTTCTACTTACTATACTTTCTTTTAATTTTTTTGTATCTTCTGCTTTTAATTTTTTATTCTCTTGCAATTTTTTTTGTTTTACACTTGTTTAATTCTTTCGTATTTTCGACTCTGTAATTCTATCTTATTTTTGCTTGTAATTTTATTTATTTTCTGCTTTTAATTTTTATTTTCTACTTGTAATTCTTTTTTATTTTCTGCTGTAAAATTTTATTTATTTTCTGCTTTTAATTTTTATTTTCTACTTATAAATCTTTCTTATTTTCTACTTGTAATTCTTTCTTATTTTCTGCAGTAAAATTTTTTTTATTTTCTACTTTTAATTTTAATTTTTACTTATAATTTTTTTCTACTTACAACTTGCAATTCTTTCACATTTTCTACTTATTCTTCCTTATTTTCTGCTTGTAAATTTTTTCTATTTTCTACTTTTAATTTTAATTTTCTACTTGTAATTTTTTTTTTAATTAACTACTTGAAATTCTTCCGTATTTTCTACTTTGTAATTCTTTCTTATTTCCTACATGCAATTTTTTTTATTTTCTCCTTGTAATTTATCTTGTATTTACTGCTTGTCATTTTTTTTTTATTTTATTATCTGCTTTCAATTTTTTTTTCTTTTGTATTTTCTGTTTCTAATTTTTTTTTTGTTTTCTGCTTTTGATTAAGAAAATGATTAATGGCGCAAGTTGAAAGTTTTCACAGTTGGGAAAGCTTTAAGGTGACCCAGACAATATCTTAAACGCGGCATCGAAAGCAGTTTGAGAGGATGAATGAGAGGCAGAAGGCTGAAATCAATATTTTAATATTTCGAGGAATCGCATTTTCTCCCCTTGTACTGAAAATTGCTTGAGTTAGAAACGAGAAAAATGAACAAGCATTTAACGATAAACATTTCATTGACAATTAGGTATTTTTTTTATTCATTTTATTTATTACTTTTTTTAGAAACATTTTAAAAAAAATTCTTTTATTTATTTCAATAAAAATATTAATAATATGTAAATGATAATTATTCCCAACTTGATATTTAATATTTATTTATCACTATTATTAAAGACAGTTTAAAAAATAAATAAATAATATTTTCTTATTAAAATTAGTATTATAATTATTATATAATAATAATATTCTATTATGTAATTTAATATGATTAACTGTATATTAAATACAATGAATTATACAGATTATATAATAAAGTTAAGTACCGATAAAATTATTCTTTAATGAAATTTGAGAATTTCTGTATCGATCAAACAAAACAATGAATTTTCCTGAATAGAAGATACGGAGAATGAAATGTTGGGTATGGTCTAATTAAAACCGAAAATGTGCGGATCATAATATAATACTTCTCGTTATAAGCGAATAATGATACTGTCGAAAATTTATTATGTTCATTATGTTTAATTAGCCCGATTTCAAAATTCAATTTAAATTTCACAATTTTCAATAATGTTTTATCTAATTCGTGTCTACAAAAAAAGTCAAAATATTCATTTTAATTGAGATAAAAAAAAAAATTATTGTCGACAAACATCAAATGCGTATAAATATTGTAAACAAAAAGTTTCACAAACAGAAAATATTTTTCTTGTTTTTTTATACAGTAACGGACAAAATACAATAATACAAAATTGACATGTAATACAAAATATTTTTTTCAATAAAAACCATAATAATAATAATAATAACCATTTTTCAACGAAAAATATAAAACAGATCACAAAAGACAAACAAAAAATTGTTTATTTATTTAGTACCGACAGGCCGATAAAATGAAAAAAGGAGAATAGAAAAATAAATAAAAGAGAGGTATATTAAATAAAATAATAAAAAAATCAATAGAAATAGAAAAATAAAAAATATATTTATTACTGAAATAATTATAATTGGAAGAAATATAATCAAAAGTAAATAAAACAAGTAAAAAAGTATATTAATTACTAAAATAATTATAAATAGAAAAAATTAGAAAAATAAATAAAAAATACATTATTTACTAAAATAATTGTAAATAGAAAAAATAGAAAAAAAATTTAAAAGTAAATAATAATAATAAGAATAACAATAGTAATAGTTACAGTAATAAATAATCGAATAATAATATTCTTCTCGGTGTTTAGGCCTTTTTCTTTCAAAATAATCAAAAAAACAATGTTAACGAAAATAAAATAATAATAATAATAAAACAAATCACAATTACAGTTGCATATTAATTTATCCCTTGAGAAAATTCAAGGACGTGGAATTTAATAAATCTTTTCATATAAAGAAATTTTTGTAATTTAAATTTTACATTTTTGTCTGGTTTTTCTTACTCCTTATAGAATTCTTCGTGATAATAACGAGAAAGAGAAATAGTAAAAGAGAGAGAGAGAGAGAGGGGAAGGAGAAGAGACTCGCCCCCGGGGGGCCATACGAAGAATTTTCTATGCCACCCCCCTCCCCACCCCCTTAACAGTAATCTGTTGTGCATTAAGATTCCGCAAGAGAAAAATTTCCTCAAAAAAGAAAAAACGAAAAAAAATGTTACATTTTTCGAATTCGCAACTTACATTCTCTTTAACCGCAACTATAATTTATCAATCAGAAATATTCCTTTTTATTAGAGATTTTATTTCTCATATTGCCTGCTTTATATTCCATTGGAAAATCCATTTATAAAGCTGAATATTTACGATACTCGAAAGGAGAAACAATTTCAGTAATTTTTTTTCTCTTTCGATTCAGAAACAAAATTTGGTTCAAGCAGAAAAAATGGGAAAAAGAAATTAGATGTTGTTTTATTAATAATTAATAATAAATTTAGGAAAAGTATATTTTTTAATTAAAAGAATATAAGAAATTCTCAAAAAAAGAGTTAATTATTTAAGAAGAATATTTAATTAATAATTAATAATAAGTTTTAAAAAAGTACTTTTTTAAAGCTTATTATTAATTATTAATTAAATATTCTTCATATTTTAATCAAAAGGATGAAAGAGTTGAAAATATAGAACATATTAATAATATAGTGTAGGAAACTTTATTAAAATTAAAATTTTTCATTTCAAATAATTGATTATTATTTAATTACTTGCTAATAATAAGTAAATCATTATTTAATTATTCGATAACTATTGTTCCGTATTCGATTAATATTTAATAATTTGCTAATAATTATTTGATTATCATTTAACTATTTCATCAAAACTAATAATTATGAAAAAGCATTGTCCTGTTTATTATTTAAATAAATAAATAATTTATTCTAAAATAATTATTCATTATCTATTATAAAATAATTTATCATAAAATAATTCAAAAGAAGAATAAATATTTTTTAATATAGAAAATAATTATTTATTATTTAGTATAAAATACTTATTTACCACAAAAAAATGTTTTTGGTATAACAAGATTTTTTAAAATTAGATTAAAACTGAAAAAATGGAATAAAATAAATGGAAAAAAATAATTCGAGGTAAAAAAGCCACACTGGTCAAATGGAAAAAAAACCACCGACTCTTGTTACATTTTCATCAAAAATGCGAAGGTATTTTTTTTTTTTTTGTTAAAAAAAAAGAAATTTAAAATTGACAAAAAATTTACAGGTTCATAATATTGGTTTCATCATATTTTAAACATTCTCCACAAAGTTTAACTTTGCAAGTAAAATTTTCATTTAATTAAAATATTTGAAAGATAATTAAATTACAATTAATAATTAACGTGGGAAAAAACTGGTTTGGAATTAATTAAAAGCACTTGACCCGGTTTTTTTCCTATTATCAAAGAGGAGGAAAAAAAACATAAACAGGTGAAACGGTGCTTTGCAAAAAAAAAAAAAAAAAAAAAGAATCCTTAAGTGTTATTAGCCAGACTAAGGGAATTTTCATTAGATAACAATTACCGTGAATGGTGCGCGCTACGTATTCTTATCACAGATTCTTCATTTCAATGATAATCCTATGACAATATTTTCAATCACAATATTGTAAACTGAGGGAAACATTTTTTTTTTTTCTTTATTAACTTTCTTCTTTTCTTTTTTATTAATAGGAAAAAAAATTTCCGAGAAAGGAAAAAATTTGTAATGAGCAAAAAACGGAACGTGAGATTAAAAAGTGTCGCGCACAAGTTTTGGACCGAAAGTGCGCAAGTTATGCGCGCGAAACAATATCCGCAAAACAGTACCGCGAGTTGGAGAGGTTCGATTAACCCCTGACGAACTGCTCCGTGGCCCGTGTTGAGCAAGACTGGCGGTCGTGCAAAGGGGCCAGCAATTGTTGACCTAGTTCGTTCAGAAAATGGAGATTGCGCCGTGCAAGCTCGTTCTAGGCGCTCTTCAAGTAGCAACATAAGGCCAGTTGCAGCTTTACTGTTAGGTTCTTTTTTCTATTCACGATTTTAGAAAAAAAAAACATGAAAAAAGATTTTTCATATTACATTTCAAAAGAGAAGCAACACGTCGCTTTGTCATTGTAGCACAATAATAAAATAGCGAAAACCGTGAAAAATCTTTCTAACACTACTGGGGAAAAAATTTCTAATCTCAATTCAACACGAATTTTATCTTCTTTCTATAAATTTATATTTATATTATTTTTATTATCTCTTATAATTTGAATTAGTAATTAGTAATGTTACGTCACCGTAACCTATTTTCAATAATAATAATAATAATAATATGTAGAATAATAATTAATAATGATAATAATCATAATGTTAATAATAATAATTATGATAAAAGTTAATAACAAATAACAATAATAAATTGTAATAAGAAATACTAACAAATAATAACAAAATTGTAATAATAATAATATAATAAACAACAATAAAAAGTAATAATAATCAATAACAAAATTGTAATAATAAACAAATAACAATAATATACAATAATAAATTGTAATGAGAAATATTAACAAATAATAACAAAATTGTAATAACAATAATAAACAACAATAAAAAGTAATAATAATAATAATCAATAACAAAATTGTAATAATAAACAAGTAACAATAATAAACAATAATAAATTGTAATAAGAAATATTAATAAATAATAACAAAATTGTAATAACAATAATAAACAACAATAAAAAGTAATAATAATCAATAACAGAATTGTAATAATAAACAAATAACAATAATAAATTGTAATAAGAAATATTAACAAATAACAAAATTTTAATAACAATAATAAACAACAATAAAAAGTAATAATAATAATCAATAACAAAATTGTAATAATAAACAAATAAGAATAAAAAACAATAATAAATTGTAATAAGAAATATTAACAAATAATAACAAAATTTTAATATCAATAATAAACAATAAAAAGTAATAATAAAAATCAATAACAAAATTGTAATTAAATATTAATAATAACAACAGAATTGTAATAATAATAAATTAGGAAATTATAACAACTTTAATTGTAACAGTAATTAGAATTACCAATTAAAAAGCAAAAATTCCTAATTCAAATTTTGTGTTCTATTCCGCGTCACCCAGGAGGTTGAACACCAGACGCGTTTTTGTATGGTTTTTCCCCGTTGCACACAGTTCGTCCAATCACAAATTTATAGCAAAACACGTTTACAATTTTAACGCATTTTAATTTGTGATTGGACAAATGTGCAATAGGCCTACTCCACTCCTCCCTTCAAACGAAAGAAAATTTTTTTTATTTCAATCAAAAATAATTCTTTTGAATCAAATAAAAATAAATATTTGTCTCAGTAATTCATCATTTATTTATAGAAAATAAATACTGAACTTTGACAACTTTTTTCTCCGATTGAACACATTAAAAGCAAAGTCTCTAAAATTCAATTGAGTTTGAATCAATGATGCGAAAAAATTACAAATTTTAATTTTTTTTCGAGTTCCTTTATTTCTAAATTCTCAAATGAACAAATTGAAAAATAAAACTTTTTTAAGACTTTGTTTTTAATGTGGAACACAATTTATTTGCGTCAATATTAATAACATTGGCGGAAATATATTGTGTTCCAAAGGAACGCTGAAAAAAACATTAATTAAAATACAATAAATATATTAAATATATAATATATAAACCAATCAAATTTATCTTCACCTAAAACAAAAAAAAAAAAATAGAAACAGAAAAAATGTGACAAACATGAGAAAAAATTGGCAACATGATACATACAAATATTTTGACATACAAAAAATTTTGTTCGTGAACAAAACATGCCATGCAACAAAATTGTTGATCTGAAACAGAAACAAATACTTCGGCAAACAAAACAAAAAGATTTTAAAATGGAAAAGTGTATATTTTATTTTAAAAAAATTATTTGCAATATCATGCAACATGAAAAAAACATAAAACGGAGAAAAAACTTAATACAAAAGAAGAAACATTAAACAGAATAAAAAATCATATTCAAAAATATTTTCTTGACAAAAAAAATATAAAAGAAACATGTTGACCTGAAACAGAACAAATAATTATGTTGACCTGAAACAGAAACAAATATTTCGACACACATAAGAAATTGATTTTAAAATGGTAAAGTATATTTTTTCATTTTTAAATTATTTGCAATATCAGGAAACATGAAATAAAACATAAAATGGAAAAAAAAACTTAATACGAAAACATAAACATTAAACAGAATAAAAAAACATTATTCAAAAATAATTTCTTGTCAAAATATAAACAAAACATGTTGACCTGAAACAGAACGAATAATTATGTTGACCTGAAACAGAAACAAATATTTCGACACACATTTGAAAATGGTAAAGTATATTTTTTCATTTCTAAATTAATTGCAATATCATGCAACATGAAATAAAACATAAAAGGGAAAAAAACTCAATACGAAAAAATAAACGTTAAACAGAATAAAAAAGCATATTATTCAAAAATATTTTCTTGACAAAATATAAAAGAAACATGTTGACCTGAAACAGAAACAAAAACAAAAACCGCTGCCAAGTTGTACATTTTTACAATATTGGTGTTTAATTTCATGAATACTTTGCTTCCTCATAGAAATAATAATAATTGAAATATAAGAATTAATTTTTATAAAAGAATTAAAAATTAATTAATCTTGGTCCCAGAAATGTTTTTATATATTCTATAAGATGTTTATAATAGTTTAATAATTACACATATTTTCTACAATTTTTGATTTTTTAAATACCAATAATTTGATAATTTTTGACCGAATCAGGTTCAAAAATAGATCAATCGAACCTTTTTTTAATGCTCTACAAGTTGGTAATGATACTTTTAAAGTTACTTTTATATTTTTCAACAAAATTTTCAAAAAAGTGTTATTTTCGAGAAATTTAGATTTTTAAGACTTTAATACCTCTGGTTAATATATAGATGAAAAATGTTCAATGAAGGCTCGAAAAAACTCTATAAAACTAAAGAAAAATATTTATAGGTGTCCTAACTTTTTTTTAAGTTATTGACAAAAAACGTTTTTTTACAAAATGAAAAATGCAAAAAAAAATATAGTTAAACTTTATGAATCGGGCTGAAAATACTCTCATTTTATGTCCCTCGGGGAGACCTACAATTTAAAAAAAATTGAGGCCTTTAGCTCTTTCTCGTTCTGAGATATTGAGGCAAATGTAATGTTAGTACACACAAACACACACATCGGGACATTTTTTTAAAATACATTTTTTGGACTTCTGAGATAAACTTACATCAAAATTTTTTTTTATTTATTTTACAGGGAAACTAATGTTTTTCTTAAATTTAATTTTCATTAATTTGAATTTGAATTTATTTTATTTTAAATAATTTTAATTTTTTTTAAAGGATAAAAAAAGTTACATTATTTCTCGCGTCTAATGAAGGAAAACAATTTTTATTTATGGACATTCCTTCTGTGAACTTAGGTATGAAAAAGCGTGAAATTTGAAAGTAATTGAATTTTAATTCATTTTATTTTAAATAATTTTAATTTTAATTCATTTTAATTTCTTTTAAAGGATAAAAAAAGTTACATTATTTCTCGCGTTTAATGAAGCAAAAATAATTTTATTTAAGGACATTCCTTCTGTGAACTTAGGTATAAAAAACGAGAAATTTGAAAGTAATATGACATTTAATTAAATTAACGGTTGTGTGAAATTTTCCAAAGTTGTAAACGATCGAAATATTATTAGCTAGAATCTACAAATATTGAATAATTTATATAATAATCTTTTAAAATACCAAATTATTATTTGTTCGAATTTTCAAAACGTCGAATGTTAATTTAAACGAATTTTAAGAACATCGAATGCTTATTTTAATTAAATTACAAAACATCGAATAACAATTTGATCGAAAATGTTGCAGTTGTTCTATATTTTCGAAAAATTAACTTTTTTATATAATCATATAAACATTGATAATTTCAGCCTCAGTAATAATGTAAAAATTAATGTAAATAGTATATACTTATTTATCAAAATTATTTATACTTTTATAGTATTTTTTTTTTGTTTTATTTGAATGTAGAAAAAATGATTTTGTAGGCTACTGCCAAGCATAGAGGCAACTTTGTATGCATATCTACTATTAAGTAATAAAACATAAATGAAAAAAGTTTACATTGACAAGTAAAAAGAAAAAAGTAAGATATAAATTTGGAAAGTATTTTTCTTAGTATGAATACAATTTTTAATTTCAAAATAGAACTTGTTCTAACAAGAATAAGTAATCACAAGCGTGTTGAAATTTCACTATTGTTATTGTCAAGACAAAAATGTAAAATATTCAATACAAATATGAATAAATATAAAGTTAAGTAGCAGTAGATGATTATTTTTTTCTCTGCTTCTTATTAAAAAATTTCTTTCTCAAGAGAAAGAAGATAAGAGAGTCAACCGGAATTACTTTACAAAAACGACATTAATTCTTGTGAAAAGAACGTAACCTCTTCAAGTACTCTTTAGGTGTATGCTATTCTCTACCGAATGTGAATTGATACCCATCGCTTCATCTTCTTAGGTGCATCACCACCGTCAAAAAGACTCAATATGTCATT